CTCGAACTCACAAACTGCAAGATCATGACCTGAGCTGAAGTCGGATGCTTAACCGACTGAGCCACCCAGGCACCCCAACAAATAAAAAAATTAAAAACAAAAAAAACAATAGTTATTAGTAGTCAACATTTGGGAGAGTCAGAAGACATATGCAGATTTTCAACGGCATGGGGTCAATGCCCTTAGCTCTCTACCATTCAAAAGTCAATTGTATATCCTTCCCAACGAAATTTTTGTCATAAAAATTAAATATATAGTGAGGCACAAGTTGGTGACAATCCTGGGAGGGTGAAAAGGAACAGAAAAGGAAGATAACGAATTTTTAAAAGAAATGAGTTGAAAACAACCAAGATCTAGACTATTTATTCTAGGCTGAAATTAGAATAAGATTTTTAAAAGTTCTAGTAATAAGCTTATAATAATTATCACATAACTTGCAGTTCTTCAAGCTCGACCATCATAGGCTTCTTCCTTCATTCTTTAGAGTGGAGCTCACATTTTAAAATGATGTGTAAAAAACAGATACACACATTGATAAAGGATAGAAAATAGGTCCTGTGGACTAGTCCATAACTAGCCGAGTTGGTAGGAATGAAAAGCTCTTAATAATTACCTTAAACCAGACTAAGAACTACTACAAGATTTCTGATTTATGGGTCACCATTTTAATAGGCCATTAAACAAAGGAAAATGCTTCTAAGTTGCAGGAAAAACAAATCCACTTAAGAGAGAAGTCATATTTCCATGTTTAAGTAAGATGGCAAAATGGAAAGAACAAAAGAACAGAGTGTGTGTGTGTGCATGTGTGAGCGTGTGTGTGTTTGTGTATGTGTGTCTGTGGGAGGGGAACCTTTCCATCCTTACAGATGTTTTCAAACAATGAAAGAGCATCTGGATGGGGCGCCTGAGTGCTTCAGTAAGTTGAGCGTCCGACTTTTGATTTCAGCTCAGGTCATGATCCCAGGGTCATGGGATTGAGCCCCTCAGTGGGCTCTGTGCTCAGACTGCTTAAGATTCTGTCTCCCCCTCTGCCCCTCT